ACAAAGGACAAGAGATGCGTATCTGTTGGGTTTGTTACAATGACATACCCACCGCATTTCTGGATATGTCTTTTTTTTTTTAAAATATATTTTATTGATTTTTTTACAGAGAGGAAGGGAGAGAGATAGAGAACTACAAACCTCGATGAGAGAGAAACATCGACCAGCCTCCCCCGGCATACCCCCCACCAGAAATGTGCCCGCAACCAATGTACATGCCCCTGACGGGAATCGAACCTGGGACCTTTCAGTCCGCAGACCGATGCTCCACTACTAAGCCAAACCGGTTTCGGCCTGGATATGTCTTATTGATCCGAACTGTCAAAACCCCAGCTACCTAGATGCCTGGAAAGCAGAGTTCCTTAACTGAGCACACGGCTGCCCTGAACAAAATGGGGGATGTGTGTAGGAGAGGCAAAGGGACGAGTGCATATTGGACAGGGAGCCAGCATGGTCTGCCCCCAGACATACTAAGCAGGAGACAGTTTTCAAAGTCTTTCTATCTGGTGCTCTGCCATTAATCATATATTCCTTGTTTTGTTTTGTTTTGTTTTTTACTTTGGTTACTTTGCAATATTTCTGTTAGAGAACAGAGGAAACCATAGCTCTCTGTGCCCGAAATGGGAAAGGACATGTTGCAATTGGATGTCACCACTTGGACTTTCAGGTAAGAAAGAAGGAAGTAGTTTGTCCTGTATCCACGGGCCTGGATGTGGCAAATCTCTTTTTGCCTACCCCGCTAAAGAAGGTGGGGGCTGGGTGTCATGGTTTCTTCACAGTTGATGTTTGATTTTGTACCACAGGACCAGAGAGTTGAGTTCATCAGAGTTAGAGTTTATGGTGTACTCTCACCACGTTCTACCAAATTCTCATATTCTCTCTCCTCTCTCTCTCTCTCTCTCTCTCTCTCTCTCTCTCTCTCTCTCTCTCTCTCTCTCTCTCTCTCTCTCTCTCTCCTTCTCTGTCTCTCGCTTTGAAAAATAGAATTCCCCCTTCCCTACTCTTTTCCTCCTCATACTGTTGGCAACTACTGTGGCGTGTTTGATGTGTAGTTTGTTTCTTTGTAAATGTTCTTGCATAGTGTGTGTTGTGGACATGCTGAGGGAAGAAAGGCATCAGGGATGTGCCCTGACAGAGAAAAGGACATGTGAAGACACAGAAAGAGGGAGGCCATCAGCCAGCCGGGAAGCAAGGGCTTAGTGGAAACCAAACCTGCCAACACTGTGACCTTGGACTTCCAGCCTCCATACCAGGAGGAAATAAATTGTTTAAGCCACCGAACCTCTGATGCTTTGCTTTTGCAGCCCCAGAAATCCAATGTACCGTACACTCTTTCAGAGACACCCAGGTTTCTTTCAACAATTTTGTTGAAAGCTTTGGAAGACAATAGATCTTTCCTGCTAAACCAACAATACTGAATAGCTAGCATTTGATTGTAACTTAACCTTATCTTAAATAGAAAACTGACAAGTCTTTTTTTTTTTTTTTTTTTTTTTGAGTTCTGAATCTTTCATGTAGTACCTTGTTCATTCAAAGCCTGACAAAGAGGGGAAAAAAAGTAATCCTATTTCCAGTGGTATGGGATTAGTTTAGGTCAGTGGTCGGCAAACTCATTAGTCAACAGAGCCAAATATCAGCAGTACAATGATTGAAATTTCTTTTGAGAGCCAAATTTTTTAAACTTAAACTTTTAACGCTGCTTCTTCAAAATAGACTCATCCAGGCAGTGATATTTTGTGGAAGAGCCACACTCAAGGAACCAAAGAGCCACATGTGGCTCCCGAGCCACAGTTTGCTGATGACTGGTTTAGGTAACCAAGACCTAAGCTTTTCAGTAATCGTTAATTGGCAAGAGATTGATTTAGAAACAATCCAATCCATGAGAGGTAGGGAACTTTTGCTAGGACGTTGGGGACATGGATATTTTTCTCTCTTAGGTTAGTAGAGTAGCTGAAGCCATTCAGTCTCCATGAGGCCTTAAGATGACGCCGATGCCGGGAAAGCAGTGAATCCGGATGGAAGATGCCAGGTCATGATCCAGACCAGCCCTGAAGCGCATCTTACCTCTGGACTTTCCAGTCACATAAGCCAATAAATCTGCCTCATTTTTTTAACCCAGGGTGAGTGTTGTGTAACTTGCAAGAAAAAAAATCTCCTAAATGATACAGGTAGGTGCAAGGGTACAAATGTGAATGTCAGATCTAAGCTCTTCGTCTCAGCAGCCCTGCCATGGTGCGGCTTGCCTGGCACTGGCTTGGGGTCAGTGGGGAGGTCAAGTAATTGTTACTAGGAGCTAGCGTTCACTGAGGCTCACCACTGGCCTGTACTAGACCAAGCATTTTCTATTTATTAACACATTTTATTCATTAAAAAAGATATTTAATGTTCACTATCCAAAAATAGAAAAATCGGAGGCTTCACTTAGTGCACCCTCCCCGTCTCCCCCCACCTCACCTCACCCCCCTTAGAACTCATCCGGAGTCTCAGAGCGGTCCTGCCCAGGGCTGGCTGGGGCGGGACCGGGCCCTCAGTGGCAGGATTGCTCACTGTCACCTGAAAGCGTCTAAAAAGGACACGCAGAGGAGGTGACCCTTGACTTGGCTCATCCAAGGTAAGTAAGTGTTCACCAGGCCAGCTGGGACTGGTGGGCAGGGCGCCTGCACGCGGGGGCACCCACGGGGGTGGGGTGGGGTGGGGTGGGGGTGGAAGCGGGGGATGCTACACAAGCCGCAGGGGTGAGGAGGAGCCTGGGGGCCAGGCCTGCACTGGTCCACTCTTCCCACTTTCCGCTGCATCATCCTGACACACACACACACACACACACACACACACACACGCACGCACACGCACACACACACACACACACACACACACACACGGCCCCGCCCTGGGGAAGCCCCGCCCTCTTTGGAAAGCTACAAAAACCGAGGCGGGAGCGCTCTGCTGCGTAGTTGCCATCTGCCCTCTCCAGTCCCCCGGTAGAGGAACGTGCGGAGTCTAGTAAGTAAAGACCCCACCCCGGCCACGCTTTTCCTCCGTTTTTCCTCCTGCAGAGTTTCAGACCCCCTGGCCGGAGCGTTTGCTCGTGGCTCTCCGCCTCCTTTTGCTGCATAACCTCCGGCCTCGCGCTCGGAGGAAGCGATGCCACAAGTTCCGACGCCCCTGCGCCCCGCAGGTTCCGGGGGCGGTCGGTCGGGAAGGGGTGCTGGGGGGCAGCGCGCGGGCTGCAGAGGATTCCGGGGCTCCAAACTGGGCCGCGGGTGGAAGGAGAGGCCAGGCGGGGTCGGCGTTCCATTCCTGGGCACGGGTACGAGCGGGCGAGGAGGTGGGAGCCCGGGGCGGGCGTGCCAGGCACTCGCTCGGGTCGGTGGGATGCTCGCTGAACTGCTCCGCCCTCCGCGGCCAGGCCCTTTCCCAGGCGGTGAATTCAGTTCTCAGCTGCTGCAGTCCGGGGTGGGGAGGGGAGGGGGCTGAGGGTGGAACGGGTCCGGCCGCTCCTCTTGCAGCGTCTCCCCTCCAGGCCACAGGTGACCCTCCAGGAAATCGCCTGCGGCTGCGGGCGCTTTAGTGCTGATTCACAGAAGGGAAGGCACGTAACCACGCGGTGCAGGGCAATTCAGAGCAGTGGGGACGATCTCTCGGTTTTGGGTGGGAGCAAAGTTAAACCCCAGCAAATCCTTGATTTCCTGCTTGATTTGCCCAAGAAAACTCCCGCCTGCACATGGGGCGGAGCGGCAGCGCCACCCGGTGCTGTTCAAGGGTTCCTGAAACTGTCTTAGAGTGCATTGCATTGCTCCATCTCTGAGATTTTCAACTGGTGTGCTGCAGGAATTTTCCAAAAAATGCAATACCTGACTATTTAGTAAGGGGCATTGGCCTCTTTTCCTTTAGAATGTCTAATTTTAAAAAAATGACAACAGCCAGGCCAGTGTGGCCCAGTGGTTGAGCTTGGACCTATGAACCAGGAGGTCACGGTTGGGTTCCAGGTCAAAGAGCATGCCCTGTGTGTGTGTGTGTGTGTGTGTGTGTGTGCAGGAAGCAGCCGATTGATGATTCTTTCTCATCATTGATGTTTCTATCTCTCTCTCCCTCTCCCTTGCTTTCTGAAATAATTTGTTTAAAAAAAGGACAACTGCCACCCACTGTGAATGAATCAACATTATACCTATTTTTTGTCAGATCAGCAAAAATATATATATATTTTTTGTGTGTGTGTACCACCGAATTTGAGCAATTAGTTTGTGTGCCAGGAGATGAAAAAGGTTGGAAATCGCTGTTCTAATCATTTAAAAGATGTGCATGGACTTATAGTCCGTTCTTTGTGTTTGACAGTATTTCTTAGGATTCGTTTCATGTGGGCAGAAACAGAATATTTGCACACCACGTAGGCGTTCAGTAGCCTCATGACGGCTGGGAAGAATTTCTATGCTGGTTTACATGCCTTGAAGGTTTTCTCGGAAGCCTCAGTTTGCTTTTCTGGGCGCTGTATGCTGTTAATAATAACAATGTCATTCTGTATGGGGAATTTATCTTCTGTTTATGAAGATGAAATGACATGATGAATTTGTTTAGCACAGCAACAAAAACATACAGAATACTAAACAAGTGTGATTGATGCTTAATGGCAATGAGGAGGTGTCAGTGATGGGCAGACCCTGCTGTCTGGCCTCAGTGCAATGGCTAGCCAAGTTCTAATAACCCAGTCCCAGCCAAAACCGGTTTGGCTCAATGGATAGAGCGTCAGCTTGGGGACTGAAGTGCCCCGGGTTCGATTCCGGTCAAGGGCATGTACCTTGGTTGCGGGCATTTCCCCGGTAGGGGGTGTGCAAGAGGCAGCTGATCGATGACTCTCTCTCATTGATGTTTCTAACTCTCTACCTCTCTCCTTTCGTTTCTGTACAAAAATCAATAAAATATATATTTAAAAAAAAAAAAAAAAAAAAAAAAAAATAACCCAGTCCCTTCGTGACATTTGACTATCGTGTTCTAGGAGTTTCAGGATGGTTCGTGCTAAGAGCTGGACCCTGAAGAAGCACTTTGAAGGCAGCCCTACAAACAGTAACTTTGAGCTGAAGACAGTTGAACTCCCACCCTTAAAAAATGGAGGTAAGTCATATCATATGGTGTGAATGGAAAGAGATGGTATCAATCAAACTTTTGCTGCAAAACAAACTACCCCAAGACTTAGTAACTTCAAACAACAGCCACTTCTTAGCACACAATTCTGTGGCCTCAGTTCTCCCCCGTGTGGCCTTCCTAGCAAGCTAGTTTGAGCTCTTGATTTCCACGGTGGTCTCCTGAATCTAGAGCAGCAAATCGGCAGGCCGTAAGTACTTTTCAAACCTCTGCTTGTGTCATGTTTGCTAATAAATGTGTCAAAGCAAGTTATAGCCAAGCCCAGGTCAAGAAAAGGGAATAGACCTTTTTTTTTTTTTTTTTTTTTTTTTTTTTTTTTAAATATATCTTTATTGATTTCAGAGAGGAAGGGAGAGGGAGAGAGAGATAGAAAACATCGACTATAAGAGAGAATCATTGATTGGCTGCCTCCTGCATGACCCCTACTGGGAATCGAGCCCACAACCCCGGCATGTGCCCTTGACCAGAATCGAACCTGGGACCCTTCAGTCCACAGGCTGATACTCTATCCACTGAGCCAAACCAGCTAGGGCAGGAATAGACTTCTTGATGGAGGATTGGCCAGGAGGCCCTCCCATAGAGATGGGAGGTATTTGTAGTCATTCTCAATCTGCCACAGAGACTTTTTCAAAGTCCTCTGTGTGAAGCCTCGCTGTCATGTTGGATCTCCCTTTTTTTCTTGGTAATTGACACTTGAGCTTGGGTGCATTATTCTTCATGACATTTTAAAAATATATATATTTTATTGATTTTTTTTTTCAGAGAAGAAGGAAGAGGGATAGAGAGTTAGAAACATCAATCAGCTGCTTCCTGCACACCTCCCACTGCGGATGGCTCTATCCACTGAGCCAAACCAGTTAGGGCTATTCTTCATGACTTTGATCGATGGGAGGATTTTCTCTCTGGCCTTGTGAACCCTATGATGACAGAGGGGGAGAGGCAGTTTGTATGCAGAGCTCAGACTATCCCTGTGAAGAGACAAGGAGGTGAAAACCTAAAAACCCCCATCCTTCATGGAGGAGCCTCCTGTCCACTTGAGGGAACTAAATGGTCAAGTCAAACCTAAGGAAATCTAAGGGAAATTTAACATGTTTGAAACAATTACTTTGTAGAGCAGACTCTAAAGAGTGTCCATAAGAGGTGTTTACAGGTAGGTAAGCTTTGTGAAAAGAGCATGTAATCAAATAGCATGGATAACCCCATTTACATTGGGCTAGCCAGGACTCAGCTTCAAAGTTCCATAGAATGTCTACAATATGGGTCAGGCTAACAACATGCATGTTCTTTCATCCTAACTGGTAATGAAACCCTATGCGAGCACTGCAACACAGTGGTTATAAATATGGCCTGGGGGGCAAGTTACGGGAACCTAAACATAAAGTGGAAACAGTCACTGTTGAGAATATCCTATGAAGTAACCCATGAAAAGCATGGAGTGCTATGCAAATGTGATGATGATGACCTACAACACCAGGGCAGCCCTGTGTTTATCTAGAATGTCAAGAAGGCATCAGGCCTTCAGTTCTAACTGCCTGGGGGATGCTTTCTTTTGCAGAGGCCCTGCTGGAAGCTCTGTTCCTCACCGTGGATCCTTACATGAGGTATTATTTCCTTCCTCAGAATTCTTACATTGTGTGTTAGACTCTTTGTTGAAGTAGTTCATCTTTTAAAATGTCCCACTGACTCACAACAGTCATTTTCCTCCCAGTACAGTAAGAGGGATGGGATGTGTGGGTGCTCCTCTTTTGCAGGCAAAGGCCAGAGAAGCTTGGTGAGGAATTACCTTGGCCTCTTTATTTTACAATTATTTCCTATCTTATGTCCACAGTTTGCCTCTCATTGCTCACCAGAGTTGCTTCCAGAAAAAAGAAACCAATCTCCAATTTGTCCATTTCACTACTGGCAAATAATTTGAGTAGAGGAAGATGCTACGACTAAAATTGGATTTTCTTGCCCTTTATTTCCCTATATTCCTATAATTTGGATGATCTGCATCTGACTCAAACTGAGTAGTCAGTAAATTCTCTGGGAGGGAAGAGAATAAAAGCGTTCATAGGTCACACACACCTCAGTAATTTTTTTTAAGTTTCATTTATTTATTTATTTATTTAAAAATATACTTTATTGATTTTTTACAGAGAGGAAGGCAGAGTGATAGAAAGTTAAAAATATCAATCAGCTGCCTCCTGTATACCCCCTACTGGGGATGTGCCCTCAACCAAGGTATATGCCCTTGACTGGAATCAAACCTGGGACCCTTCAGTCCACAGATGTTCGCTCTATCCACTGAGCCAAACTGGTTAGGGCTCTGCAGTAATTTTTTGCCTAGGTAATCCATATAGTCATCTTTCCTTTAAGTAATTTTTTCCCATAGCTGATTGAGAGAGATACGAAGCTAATACATCAGCTGGGTGCTTGCAATTCAACTTGATTCTGACAGTATCTTAGATCCCACAGATTAGAGGTTCACCCACAAGTCTGTCCATCCCTTTTTAGGCACCAATTGCAAGTCCAAGTGTCTGTGCACACTTCCCCAATGGTTTTCCATTTGTCTAAACTCAAGACAGCTTTTCTCAGATGCTCTTATGTATTAAGCATGAATTTTTTTTTTTTCCAGATTGGCAGCCAATAAATTGAAGGAGGGTGATACGCTGATGGGGGAGCAAGTGGCCAGGTAGATATTTCCCAGTGTTTGGAAAATATGTCTCCCCTGTACCTTCTGCGGGGGCCCATCTCTGTCTATTGCTCTCAAATTTCTTCAGCTTGTGTAGTTCACTGTTTGATCTTCAAAGCAATGTGGGAATTCTGTTCTTTTCCTGACTAATGGGAAGGGAAGAAAGGCTGTAAAATTGTCATCATTTCAACTTCACTTTGCTATACTTACTTTTAATTACTAAAAAAAAAAAAAAAAAATTGTATTTGTCCAGTTCATAATTATTTTGTAGAAATTCAAATAAAACAAAAAAAATTGTATCTTGGAAACTGACAGTTCCCCATCAACCTTAGAGAAGACTGTTGTGAATGTTATTTCAAAAAAATTTCAGTACAAATACTAATATCTATAATTTTTAAAAATGGGATTAAATGCCCTTCAGCAAATTGCCTTTTTCAATATGTTATGGATGTCCTTTGCTTGTAGTATATAAGTATTCTACCTATCTTTTTTTTTAAAATATATTTTTATTGATTTCAGAGAGGAAGGAAAAGGGAAAGAGAGAGAGAGAGAAACATCAATGATGAGAATCACTGATTGGCTGCCTCCCGCACGCCCCCTACTGCAACCCTTGACGGGAATCAAACCCATGACTGTTCAGTCTGCAGGCCACCACTCTAGCCACTAGGCCAGTGGTTGACAGAGTCATTAGTCAACAGAGCAGCAACCTCAGCTCGCGAGCCGCATGCCGACCTCTGCACGAGGCCAAGCTGATTAGGGCTAAGAACCGCTAGCAGGGTCGCCTAAGACCATCGGAAAACGCAGATATTTACATTACCATTCATCACAGTAGCAAAATTAAAGTTATGAAGTAGCCACGAAAATAATGTTATGGTTGGGGGTCACCATACCATGAGGAACTGTATTAAAGGGTCGTGACATTAGGAAGGTTGAGACCCGCTGCCTCAGTGGCACATAGTGGGGGTGGTGCATTGGGCTATCAAGTGAATGGGAAGCAAAGAAGTGAGAGGAATGAGGGAGGGAGGAAATGGATTGTAAAATAGAGTTGACATGCTTTTACGCTGAGGGCAAGGGAGGGACAGTAGGGAGGAAAATGTTACAGATTCAGGAGAGAGAAAGGATTCAGAAATGGAGGGTGACCCCTGAAGAACACAGCAGGTGGCATCCAGGGTGCAGGGAGACAGAAGATGGACACCTTTTGCTTAGACAGAAGAGAAGTGGGATAGCACAGGGCCCGATTCTGGGCCCATTGAGAGCGTCCCTGTCTGATAGCTCCTATATTTGGTAGAAGAAGGAGAGATCAATGGCTAAGAACTAAGCTGGAGAGATGTGGGCGGGGTGTTCCTTCTTGGAATACAACCTCAGTGCTCTTTGTATACAACGAGCCACACAGCATTCCCATTCTCTTCGAAGGCGAGAGGTTTCACAGGTCCTGATGTGCTTTGTCTTTCAGAGTTGTGGAAAGTAAAAACTCAGCCTTTCCAACAGGAACTGTAGTTCTGGCTCCTTCTGGCTGGACATCACACTCCATTTCTGACGGAAAAGACCTAACGAAGCAGCCTGCAGCATGGCCAAGCACATTACCTCTGTCTTTGATGCTGGGCACGCTCGGCATGCCAGGGTGAGTTTTGAGTCTGGATGCTATTTGTTTGAGTGCCTGACTCACCGTATTTCCAAAATGGTTTGTCCAGAACGTGGTCAATAAGAAGAGATAACACATTCTAGGTTCAGAGCTGATTAGAGAGGATGGTGGGGTGAAGAAGGAAAGAAGAATGGCCTAGGCTCGAGTTAGCCTTAAAACTAAAGGAAAAAAGGCAGGGGGCGGGGGGAAGTCAGGTCAGTGACACTCAGGTACAAAGAGGAAGCGAGACTGAGAAGCAACATGGGCCCGATCCCCCTCAATCAGCTGGCAAATGGCAACGCAAAGACACCAGCTCCTCCTGTCCCTGGGAGGGTCCTGGCTTCACCCATCACTCAGCTCTGCCTCCATTTCAGAATTCCAAAAGGGAGGGAGTTCAGTCTGCCTTGGTTTTCTGCATCTGTATCCTTCCCCAACTTTCCCTGAGGAGTAAGAGAAGCTGGATGTTAAATAACGAAGAGGAGTCACAGATTATTCTACTATTATAGTTGCGGCTCTTTGGCCCGTTGAGTGTGGCTCTCCTACAAAATACCACGTGCGGGCACACATGTACTACAGTGCTATTGAAACTTCATGGGCCATGCGCAGAAGTCAGTTTTTGGCCTGGGTGAGTCTATTTTGAAGAAGTGGCGTTAGAACACTCAAGGGACCAAAGAGCCGCATGTGGCTCACAAGCCGCAGTTTGCCGACCATTAACCTAGACCCATGGCAGTCTAAGGTCTTTGGGATGTATCTGAATGAGTTATACGGGAAAGCAACAGATTCATCCACATGTCCTAAATTCTCTCTCCTCAGCCTAACAGCCTACTTTGGCCTGCTCGACATCTGTGGTGCAAAAAGTGGAGACACCGTCTTGGTTAATGCGGCAGCAGGAGCCGTGGGCTCTGTCGTGGGGCAGATAGCGAAGATCAAGGCAAGTGTTTTCCCCATGAGCACATACTCAGCCCCCACCGTGTGCACTGGGAATGCAGCAGTGAATGCAGCAGACCTTCCTTAGTCTTAGAGATTAGACTAGTGGATCTTGAATATTGGGAATGAATAAGAAATGGGAGAATAAGGAAAAATGCTTGTAGTATATAAGCATTTTTATTACTTTTTAAAAAATATATTTTAAAAAATATATTTGTATTGATTTCAGAGAAGCAGGGAGAAGGAGAGGGGAGAGGGGGAGAACATCAATGATGAAAGAGACTCATTGATTGGCTGCCCCCTACTGGGGACTGAACCTGAAACCTGGGCATGTGCCCTGACCAGAATCGAACTGAAATCTTCTGGTGCAAGGGATGATGCTCAACCGAGCCACACCAGTCAGGCTTCTGTCATAGTGGTTGCTGAACATTTCTTGTTATACAGCTTTACCTTCTCTCCTTATGGTTGTCCCAAACAGTAAAGGAGGGCCATGAGGTTAGCCAAAAAGAAAGCCCACATGTGAAGGCTACTGCAGTAACTCAGAGCGGAGGTAATAGGGCATGGAAACATTGCTCTGACTTAGGCAGGTGTCTGTGTTCAAGAGATCTGATGTGATGGTGAGCAGGAGGCAGCTCAGACATGGTCAGGATGTGTCACAGAGAGGAATGTTCCAAGGTGATTTGGCTTAGCTGATCCTTTGCCAGAGACTGGGATGCAGAATCAGGAAAGAGTTAAGTAAAACACAGACGAATATAGCACTATCACCAAGAGCCAAGGATTCAGGGTGGTCTCCAGTGTTAACGGGAGCTTGGGATACAAATAAGAAATGAAGCTACCTTAGAGGTTAGAGGAAGAATTTATTTACTAGTAAGTAAAGAAATATGAATAGATATTGAATTTTATCAAATGTTATTTCAGCATTTATCAGGTTTACTTTGCAGTTAACGAATTACATTAGTTTTCCAGTATTGAATCATTCTAGCATTGCTGGAATAAGCTTTATTTACCTATGGAAATTATGGATTTGTACCTTTGAATTTATTTGATCGCATTTTAAACAGAATTTTTGCATCTATATTTATAGTTGAGTTTGGTTTGGAGGGCTTTTTTTTTTTTCTTGAACTTATCAATATTCAGCTTGGGTTATGCTAGACTTACAAAACAAATTAGTAATATTTCCAATAATCAAATGTTAAATGTTTTCTTTAAACTGTAAGGCATATTTATTTCAAAAGTTTGATAGGACTTATCCCTAAACCTGTTCTTTTAGAAACCTCACTGGACACTGCCATACTAAAAAGCTTAATCCTTAAAGGAGAGACAGGATTAGTTCTGCATTTTATAGAAATTACATTGCCTTCATTCATAGTTTCCAGAGACAAAGTGCTAGAAACAGGAAGTCCAATTAGGAGGCCCTTAAAGAATTCAGATGGAAATTGTGATGCATCAAAGGTAGAGATTAGACATCAGAGCCAGCTTTTAGGATATTTGGGGGGGGGGGAAAGAATAAAACCTGGTGGTTGGATGTTGAAAGAAAAGGTGCGAAACATCTGCACGAAGGTTATAAGGTCATCTGCATTGAGGTCATAAGTGTCGAGATCATCCTGTGAGTTTATAAGGCTAGAAGGACAAAAGACAGAGGATGGAGCTTTTGCAAGTTTTTTTCTTGAATCATGAAAAGATGGGAAAAGTAGGTGGATAGAAGTCATTGTTGGTACAGATACATGTATGAACCCAAAGGTCTTTCCCTAACTGACAGTGCATAGTGGCTCATCTTGGTCTTCACGATCCATTCAGAATATAAGAGAGCTTTCTGGGGAGCTACTTTCTACGTGCCAATACAGTATCCAATCTTGCAAATTAAGCAGCATTTAGTCCAATGATTTGGGTCAAATCAAACAATAAGGGGACAGTTACCAGGAGGGCAATCTATGAAATGAGAGTCCTAGAACTGAGTCAAAATAATAGTTAAAGGATAACTGCACCAAGAGATAGCATGCAAAGGAAGAGAAGTTCCAAAATAAAGAAACAAGAGAGGGCCTGGCCGGTATAGCTCAGTGGCTGGGCATCGACTTATGACCAGGAGGACAGTTCAATTCCCAGCAGGGCACATGCCCGGGTTTTAGGCTAGCTCTCAGTGGAGGGTCTGCAGGAGGCAGCCGACTGAGGATTCTCTCTGATCATTGATGTTTCTATCTCCCTCTTCTTTCCTCTCTCTGAAATCAATACAAAACATTCATTTTTTTTTAAAACCCCACAAGAGAGACAAATGAATATGTTGTCAAGCCAGCAGGTTGAAATGAACTGCAAACATCATAAACATAGAAAGGATCTATTGGGCGGTCAGAGGCAAGCTGAAGTTATTCTTGGGTTGTAGGATGGTTCAGGGACTAGTTTTACTGATAGGGCCTTTTGGCCCATTGTGGTATTCTCACATATGTGGCTCAGCACCTCAGAAGGTATTCTCGGGGAACCTGACCTTATTGGAGTAGGAGGGTGGGGTTGGTCTTTGCTTGTAATTTATAAATGGACTTCCTTCCCCCACCCCTCCCTACTTAGGGCTGCAAAGTTGTTGGAGCAGCAGGGTCTGATGATAAGGTTGCCTACCTTAAAAAGCTTGGATATGACGTTGCCTTTAACTACAAGACAGTCAAGTCCTTGGAAGAAACATTGAAAAAAGCTTCCCCTGATGGTTACGATTGTTATTTTGATAATGTAAGTACAAATTAGACTTAAAATCTGATTGACTAACAAAGTATACAAGGAATATACTTCTGGAGTTTCCATCTAAAATCTGTGACTAAAGCACATATGCCTTTTTAAACAAACAAACAAAACAAAAATGGCTTTATTGTGATATAATTCACCCATTTAAAATGTAGGATGTAATGGTTTTTAGTATATTCACAGAATTGTACAACTGTCACCACAATCAATTTTAGAACATTTTCATCACACTAAAAAAGAAATGCTATACTTACTAATAGTCACTTTTCACTTTCCCCCAAAAGTGGTCTTCTGTGACTGGCTTCTTATACTTAGCATGTTTTCTAGGTTCATCCATGTTGAAGCATGTATCAGTGATTCATTCCTTCTTGTGGCCAAATAATATTTCATAGTATTGATATATCACATTTTATTTATCCATTCATCAGTTGATGGACATTTGTTATTTATACTTTTCGGCTGTTATATAATGCCGCTATGACCATTCACGTACAAGTTTTTGTGTGGATATGTTTTCATTTCTCTTGGATATACACCTACGAATGGAATTGCTGGGTGATATGGTAACCTCATGTTTAACATGCCAAACTATTTTGCACAATGGCTGCACTATTTTACATTTTTGCTAGCACCGTATGAGAGTTCCAACATCCTCTCCAATACTTATGAACCATCATTTTGATTATGGCTATCCTGGAGGGTCTGAAGTGATAATTTCATTATGGTTTTGATTTGCATTTCTTCAATAGCTAACATTGATCATCTTTTCATGTGCTTATTGGCCATTTGTATATCTTCTTTGGAGAAATATCTGTTCAAATCCTTTGCCCATTTTTCAATCAGGCTATTCGTTGAGTTGTAAAGGTTTTTTCATACATTCTGGATACAAGTCTCTTTATCGGATATTGTCAGTTCTTGGTATTCCTGGTAGTTATGTTCTACTAAGTCATACAAACACTGAACCATTCATTGCTCCTGGAAAAGTATGTACATATATGCATATATTTTACATAGATTATAATCTTAAAACCTAAAAACAACTCTACCAACAGCTTCCATTTTCTTTATTTTACAAAAGAGAATAGGAGAGTCAGAGAAATGTGAAGTAACTTGCCTGAGCTGCCCCACTAATCCTCCCAATGTTAGAGTTTATACCCAATCAAATGGCTCAGGAGCAGAGCTTCTTGAACTAAACTGCACTGCCCCCTACTGTCTTCACCCTCTGATGATCTAAGAGCTGAGAAAAGAAGGCAGAGCCATGGCCTTGCTTGACCTTAGCTGGTAACTTTGCATCTCTCTCCCTGCTTTGCACGTGTCTGCAAATAACCAGGGAAAGCCCTGTGAATATTGAGTTGGAGGTTATAAATACATTTTAGCAAGTAGTCCAATTCACAAATATGGAATCCAGTAATAATGAGGATCCACTGTATATAGTTTGCAAATATTTTCTCCTATTCTTTTTCTTAGTTGTTTTTCACTTTCTTGATGGTGTTCTTTAAAGCACAAAAGTTTTCCATTATTTTTTCTTTTGTCCCTTAGTGTCACGTCTAATGCTTTACCCAAGATCATGAACGTTTACTCTTTTTGTTTTCTTCTAAGAGACTTATAGTTTTAGCTCTTACATTTAGGTCTAGGATGCATTTTAAGTTAATTTTTGGGTATGGTATAAGGAAGGAGTCCAATTTCATTCCCTTCCATGGGGATATCCAGTTATTCTACACCATTTGTTGAAAAGACTATCTTGTTCCTCTTGAGTTGTTTTGGCACTCATATCACAATCAATAGACCATAATGTAAGAGTTTGTTTTGGGGACTTCAATTTAGTTCTATTGACCTATATTTTTTTCTCACATTGTTTTGATTAATATAGCTCTGTAGTAAATTTTGAAAGTGGAAAATATGAGTCTTCCAACTTGTTCTTTATATGGCATTTGAGTACTTTCCCCAACTTTTAGATAGGGCAATGAGATTATTGAACTGATCAGAGAAGCTCGCAATGTAGATAAATACAACTTATAAGTTATATAATGTATGTTCCTTTAATAAAATGGAAATGCCCAATTCCTATTGTCTTTTTCCAAATGTAATTTTCTTCTCTACTGTGCTAATTCAATCAGTTTTGTTGCTGTTAAATAAGTAATATGAAATGATGATTTTAAATTATTTTCTTGAATCTTATAGTGTTTAGATCAAGGTTGTTGTTTTTTGTTTCTTTGTTTTTGCCCTGTTTAGGTAGGTGGAGAATTTTCAAACATTGTTATCCCCCAAATGAAGAAATTTGGAAGAATTGCTATATGTGGGGCCATCTCTACCTACAATAGCACTCGCCCACTTCCCCCAGGTAATGAGCTTCTGCATATGGCACAGCTGTAGAAAGACTAGACAAGGAGAAGATTCACATATATGGATATTAATAAGTTGTTAGTGACTATCAAAATATTTAAATCGATGCTAAGCTAGAATCCCCCCTATATTTTTCTAATTGATGCTAAGCTAGAACCGATTGGGTGGTGCAGAAATGTGTCTGCATTTTAGGACCTCTTTCTATTTTATAGAGCTGTTTGGGAAGCTTTGGGTGGGCCTTGCTTCTGGCACGTCCAAAAGGACCATTCCTGGCTTTGTGACTGTGCAAGGACTCCACATGTGTTTCCTGTTGCTGCTGTAACAAATGACCATGAACTTGGTGGCTTAAAACAACACAAATGTATTGTCCCTTATAGTTCTAGAGGTCAGAAGTCTAAAATGAGTCAGCAGGGCTGTGTTCCCTCTTAAGGCTCCAGAAGAGAGTCTTCTCTTCCTTCTCTCTCTCTCTCTCTCTCTCTCTCTCTCTCTCTCTCTCTCTCTCTCGCTTCTCTCTCTCTCTCTCTCTCTCTCTCTCTCTCTCTCGCTTCTCTCTCTCTCTCTCTCTCTCTCTCTCTCTCTCTCTCTCTCTCTCTCTCTTCTCTCCCTCTCTTTCCTCTCTCTCTCTCTCTCTCTCTCTCTCTCTCTCTCTCTCTCTCTCTCTCTCTCTCTCTCTTTCATCTCTGCTTCCATCATCACTTTTTTTTTTTCCCCCCTCCGGACTCTGACTTTTTTCCATCCCTCTTTGTGATTTTACTGGGACCCTTGTGATTTTACTGGGCCCAGCTATATACTACACAAAAATTCCCCCCACCTCAAGTTCCTATCTTAATCATATCTGCAACATCCCTTTTGCCCTGTAAGTAACATCTTCACAGGTTCTGGGAATTAGGATGTGGACATCTCTGGGGATCCATTACTCTGCTGACCACAGAGTTGATTGGTGGGTAGCCCTGTGGATCAGAAAAGAGTGGAGGGAATGAAAGGGGGAGCAGTGAGAAAACAGTCAGTGCTTGTTTTCACCCAGGCCACCTCCCTGGACCCTGTTGCCCAAATGTGCCCTTCTCTTCACAGGCCCGCCCCCAGAGGTCATTATCTATCAGCAGCTCCGCATGGAGGGGTTCATCGTCAGCCGCTGGAAAGGAGAAGCCAGCCAGAAGGCTCTGAACGAATTGATGAAATGGGTCTCGGAGGTAAGCGGCTCCAGAGCCACTCCATCCAACTGTACACCAGATCCCATTCCCCTTGGACGCTGTAGATACATCTTCAAGTACATCTCACTGCTCCCTATTTTATAGCAAAATACCCAGAAGTGTTGTCTGCAGTTCCTGTCGTTCTTTTCTTTCTTAAACCCACACATCAGGCTTTTGCACTGGTCACTGGGCCTCTTTTCTTCTCTGCCTGCCCCTTAGTTAGCTGATCCAGGCTCCTGGTTGTTTTTTTTTGTTTGTTTGTTTTTATTGTTGTTAATCATCACCTGAGGATATTTTTCTATTGATTTTTAGAGAGAGTGGAAGGGAGAGAAAGAGACAGAGAGAGAAACATCGATGTGAGAGAGACACAAGGATTGGTTGCCTTTGCCTTCACACAATGCCCCGCCTATAGCCAGGGATCGAGCCTACAATTAAGGTTTATGCCCTTGACCAGAATCGATGCTCTTTCCACTGAGCTAAACAGGCTAGGGCCAGGCTCACAGTTTTACATGTAGGTAGGCTGACAGCTCTTGAATGTCTGTCTCCTGCCTGCCCCTCTCCCGAGCTCTGGACTGCTTGACAGCTAGCTGCACTTCAACTTAACATGTCAAAAACGAAATACGTTTTGATCTTTCCTGCCAAAACTGCCCCCTTGATAGACCTCGCCATTTTAGTTATGGCCGTATTACCCTTCCAATTGCTCAGTCTAAAAACCTTGAAATCGTCTCTGGTTCCTTTCTTTCTCTCATTCGGATCCATGTCTAACCTGTTGCAACATTCTGGTGGCTCACCAGAATGCTTACACACAGAATGTGACCACTCCTCCCTCCTCCACTGCGGCCACCCTGGTCCAGGCCACCACTTGTCTGGGATGCTGTGTTAGCTTCCATCTGGTGTCCCACCTTCGTGCCCTTACAGATAATTCCCAGTACGGCAGCCAGAGTAACCTTTTAAAGCACAAATCAAGCCATGTCATTCTTGTGTTCAAAACCCTGCAGAAATCCCAATTTCACTTAGAATAAAACTTACAAGGCGGTCAGCCATCTAGCCCCCAATACCCCTCTAATTTCATTTCTTGGTGTTTACTCTCATCGCTCACTCTATGCAGTCCCTCCCCTTGCCGCTCTACCCCTCTGTAACTGCTCAATTCTCGCACCTCCTTTACGTCTCTGCTAAAAACTGCCTTCTGAACGAACTATTACAGTGACCCCATTTTAAATTGTAATCCCCTTCATTCTTGCGCCTCCTTTTCGTTTACCCATACAACTATCATCTTTCAATGTGACATATATTACAATTCACTTCTTTAATTATTGCCCGTCTCCTCCCATGAGAATATAACCTCTGTGCAGGCAGCAGTGTTCACGCATTTTGTCTGCTGATGCTTCCTTAGCACCTAGAGTGTCTGCATCAATGTAGGCATTAGCTGAATAGTGCCGAATGGATGAAGGTCTTACATCAGAGCCTCCTTACAGCCCTGCCTTTAGAAGAGGAAGAAGCCAAAAAAAAAAAAAAAAAAAAAAAAAAAAAAAAAAAAAAATTAGAGGAAGAAGCCAGCCAATTCCTTTGTCCTGTGCTGGGATCATTTTCCCCGCCATGTAGAATGTTAGTCAATAGAGATCTGAATTAACAAGGTGCAATTATTTTACTATTATATTTAGAGGAGGAAATTGCTATCACACTTCCTAATTCCTGGCTTCATGATCATCTCCCAATTCGAAGAAATAAATTGCTTCTCTGCCAACCATTGGGAGGTTGGCATTTTTCCCAGCTAACACTTGTAGTGCTGGGCTGGGCTCCTTCCAGGAAGCTGGGAAGAGCGAAATTATTTTTAAGTTCCCTGTGTGCAGCCGCTTTATCCCTGTTGGTGAAATTGAATCTAGCGCTACCTCAGTCACAGCTGACAGCCAAGAAACCACGGTGCTGGTGGCCCTAATGTGTCCCTCTAACAGGGTGAACCTAATTGTAGCTTTAAGTCACTAGTGAATTAGCCAAATTTCTCATCTTATTTTTTTTTCTCATCTCTCCCCCTTTTCAAATATATTTTTTTATTTTAGAATAATTTTAGATTTACAGAAAAATCAGAGTTCCCATATAACCTATATCCTATGTCCAAAGTTCCCACATTATTAACGTTTAATATTAGTATTCATCTTCTACTTTTAAACGGATTATAGATTTCAACTCTTCCCAAGTTCTTTGCCTCATCAAGTGCAGGAATGAGCTTGGACTTTCTAGTCAAGGGTGCAATTGCCAGTTTTCCTACTTAATAGTTGAGTGACCTCAAGCCAATGGTCCCTCCATAAGTCCTTAAAGGTTGCTAAACTATCACTGGAATACATTAGGGTAAAATGGTATGAGTAACTCAGGACTCTACATAAGACCCCTTAAAAAAAGTGAATTAGTCCCACTCAGTAGCCTTGTACGAAAAAGAGAATGACAATCCTTCCTCACTAAATGAATGCTAAGCACACATTAACAGAATCTTGGCTGGAAGAAAAGACAGATCATCAAGGTGCCACGGCACTTACATTTCCTGAACAGGCTCTGCCTCCTCAGGGTTCAGAGAGAAGCAGTGAGGCTATGTCCTGGGAAGGATGAGCGCAGATCACACCCTACAGGGTCCGCCTTTCTCCAGCTACTTTCACCTCTTCTGAGATCATTACATTATAAAACTTTTCATGTAGGTTAGAGATTGCTTAATCACTTCCTTGTCATTTCTCCTATCGCTGGGCTGTGATCTGCTGCCTATTATGAAATTCCTGTGTGTACTTTGTAATCTGTCACATACGCTGTGTATGTGGATCATGCCCCAAGGTGATGCCAGTTCACAGAGCAGAGGGAGCTCCAGCTATAGTTCCAAGTGTCCTGCGATGTGCCTGATAAATTTGTTGTTGCAATGAGAAGAGTATATCACTTAGAATATGATATTAACCTATTATATTTGTTGTTGTCTTGATACAGGGTAAAATCCAGTACGAGGAATACGTCACTGAAGGATTTGAGAACATGCCAGCTGCATTTATGGGAATGCTCAAAGGAGACAATTTGGGGAAAACAATAGTGAAAGCATGAATAGATGACACAAAGAACCTAGGAACTATTTGGATGATTACTTAATTTCTTTTTAACCATTTAGTAAAAATGTATGTTGCCTTCATTATCTAAAAAATAGTGGTTGTGATGAGTTTGATCTACCTAATAAAGTACATGTAAATAGTATGGGATTAGCAGCAGAGAATGAACATTTCATAGTGAATGTCACATCATATAAAGCTCCAGTTCTTGCTTTCCCTGCTTCTGGGACCTTGGAGGTGGTATGTTCCAGATGGCCTAGCTACAAATGTTAGAAAGCAATAAATGCTGGAAGGCTGCCATGGAAATAAGCTTTTATTGAATTAAATTACTTTGATTTTGGGGATTTCTGTGGCTAGCATTGCTTACCCGAACTCTGTACTGTCCAATATGGTAGCCATTCAAGGCTACTGAGAACTGGAAATATGGATAGTATGACATTTCAAGATTTTAAAAAACAACAAAGCACAGTTGATATTTCTCCATTAAACACAACTTTATTGTTTTGGTAGAACTACAATTCACTGTAACTGTGTAGCATAGGACATTATTGTTGTATTGTAATATTTGTACAGGAAATGTGCATTATTTCTAGCATTACAGGTAAACACTTCACTAATGTACTCAGTATCAACAGACAGATTCAGTTCAGATAGCTGTTTTCTATGCACTGAAGTAACATTACAACGTATTTACTTGTGTATTTTACGTACACAGCACAAGTTCAAGTACACCTATGCAGAAAGCACAAGTTTTAGCAAATCTGATGTAAAGCATAATCATAAACTGAGACATTTACTACTTTAATAATAATTAAATTGTTTTCTAGCTTAAAAACACAGAAAAATACTGAATTTTTAAATGAAGGCATATTACTGAGGCAGAATTCAGTGCAATAGAGAAGCTAGTACTACGACTAGTACAGTAAAAAGAGTGGAAGAGGGCCTAGTGCACATTGAATGATGAAAGGCAATTGCAATTTATTGAAGGCATAGCAAATGGAAAAGCTATTTGTTGTATATCAACATGTTAAAGATACCACACTAGACAATATTTAAGACAATACCTAATATTAGTCACTTTTCAGCAACAATCTAGTGAGTTCAGTAAGTACTCTCCTAAGTCAAAAAAGAATCCAAGAAATTAGTCATACGAGATGAGAACTAAATTTCCAACAAAATATTACACAACTTTTGAAGAGGATTTGAGTTTGTAAATTTAGCCAGCTATGAAATAGTATGAGTTCCCACACACAAACAAAAAGAATCTTAGATGGAGAGATGATAAAAAGAAATTATTTTAGTAGGTTGATTTAGTCAGAAATTTGAGGAAGAGACTTAAAAAAAAATATTTACAAATACTGAAAATCCCAATCCTTTAAGTAATTTTGCTCATAGAATACAAGAAGTTTCTGATGATATCAAAGGCCAATGGATTCAAAACTTGAAAAATTGCAAGAATTTATCTTCAGCTTTAAGTGCGTTGTGTAGCATAAGACACAGCCCCGTGAAAACTTTGGGTATATTCTATCTCAAATAACATCCAAATTTACAAAGAAATGTCAATTTACTATCTAAAAATTCACTCAAAACAGAAATTTTTGACAATTTTCCATCTGTCAAAGAATTTTAGCTAGAGATAGAAAAATTTGTTTCTATTATAAGAGGAACTCTAGCTATATAAAGTCAAAAGACCAGCTATACTGGCTTTTTAAAGCTAGTGAATGGTATTTACCTCTTTGCAATTTCACTGTTTCATACTAAAAATATTTGTGCACAATTTTTTGAAGCAGACTCCAAAAAAGAAGTCATGATGCTAAGATTCTTCAATATATTGGTGGAAATACAAGAAGTATACAATAATAATTGCCAGTTTAAGGAACTGTACTGAAACTATGGAACTCCGAAAAGAAAACGTGTGTGTGGGAGGGAGATTTCATGACACTGGATTTGAGAATTTGTTGAACATGACACCAAAAGCACAGGAAAAAATAAGCAAAAATAGGCAAATGGGACTACATCCAAACTTAAAACCTTCCGTGAAACAAACGAAATAGTGCCAAGAATATGGAAAATATTCCAATGGAACCAATGGAATGGGAGAAGACACTCAAAAATCATAATAAGGGAATAATAACTAGAATAAATTAAAAAAACAGCTAAAATTCAAAAATAAAAACTTGATTAAATAATGGGCAAATGATTTAGACAATTCCCTTAAGATATACAAATGGTTAAGCATATGAAAAGATTTTCAACATTACTAATCATCAGGGAAGTGCATATCAAAACCACATCTGTTAGAATGGCTACTATAAAAAATATAGAAAATAATATGGTTGCTAGGATGTGAAGAAACCCTTATGCACTGTTGGTAAGAATGTAAAATGGTGCAGCTGCTATGGAAGGTTCCTCAAAAATTTTAAAATTGAATTACCAAATGACTCAGCAATCCCTTTTCTGGGAATGTATCCAAAAGACTAATAATAGATCTTTAAGAGATATTTGCAAACCCATATTCATAGCAGCGTTATTTATAACAGCCAAGAGGTAGATGCAACCTAAATGTGTGCTGATGGATGAATGCATTAAAAAAATGTAGTGTAGCCCTAGTCAGTTTAGCTCAGTGGATAGAATGTCAACCTATGGACTAAAGGGTCCCAGGTCCAGGTTGCAGACTCAATCTCTGATGGGGGGCATGCAGGAGGCAGCCGATCAATGATTCTCATCATTAATGTTTCTATCTCCCTCTCCCTTCTCTGAAATAAATAAAAATACATATTTTTAAAAGTGGTTTAAACACACAATGGAATATTACTTAACCTTAAAAAAGGAAATCCTATCATACACTACAAGGATGAAACTTGAGGACATCCAGCCAATTTCACTTGAAGCACTGAAAGCAGGGATTCAAATAGGTATTTATACACCACTGTTCATATCAGTGTTATTCACAATAGCCAAAATAGTGGAAATAACGAAATCAACCAATGAAGGATGAACAAAAAGCAGTGTATGCATACAATGAAATCTTACTCAGCCTTAAAAATGAAATTCTGACACATACTAATAAACCTTAAAAACACATGTGAAGTGCAACAAGACAGGCACAAAAGAACAAATACTGATGAATCTATTTATATGAGGTACATAGAATAGCCAAATTCATAAGACACAGAAAGTAGAATAGTGGTTACCAGAGGCTTGGGAGAGGAAACAGTGGGGAGTTATTGGTAAATGAGTGGAGTTTCAGTTTGGGATGATGGAAAATTATTGGAGATGAATACAACAACTGCACAACAATGTGAATGTATTTAATGCCACTAAATAGTACACCCAGAAAGGATTAAAAAGATCATTTTCAAATTATGTATTTTGACCACATTGAAAACAATTCTAAAATAAGTAACAAAAAGAAAACTCATTGACAGGAGAAGCCTCGTCTTGTGGTTTGACTTTAAAGAAATTTCTTCAATAGAAATCCATTAAAATCTTTTTTAAAGCAAGGTCATCATTTTAAAGTAAACATCCTGAACACGCCTCTTCTCAAGAACTTGACACATTTAATTCTTTTGTAAGTTACTTTTTCTTCTTTTCAGAAAAACAAGATGGGGTTTAGATAAACAAACTGGGTTTTATATCTCCTAAAAGGAAAACTTACAAGGATTTATATCTTTCCAGAGAAAAAGGGTTTTTATCTTAAAAAAAAAAAAATAACCTTAAAGCAGGTAAATGATTCTCATAAGCCATAGTCTTTTAGGGCTAACTGCCTCTGGTTGTTCTCTTTAGCAATAACTAAGCAAACCAATTTATGCACTAACATCTGTATTCTTAATTCCTTTGAGGTCTAATCTCACAACAGAAAACTTAAGTGAAAATGTGTTATAATTTCTACATTCCTTTCCTAAATTTCATTTATTATCAATGGTGTCTCTTTAGGTTATAGAATATGTATTCTCCAGATGGTAGGAGATCAGAATATCAAATTCCTACTGTGGGAAAGTCAGGTTGCATGACTGAGAGAACATGGCAAGTAGAGGAGTAGATTCCCTCTCTGAAGGTAGAAGCGGCTGCCCCAAACAACCCATCTTATGAAATAAGGCCTTAGTGTTGTCATCCCTTACATTCTTCAAGACTAGCCTTTTTTTAAGTATGAAGTTCCCTATTTTAAATGATGACAACTAATTACACACACACACACACACACACACACACACACACACACACACACACACCATGCAGACCAACTATGACATGTTAAGGACCCAACTTTCACTTGTGACCTTTGTCATACAGAATATTTATATTCTACTGACAGGAAGCTGTACTTAGTACAGGCAAAAATTTAAAAAATAAAACTTTATTTTGCAAAAGGCAACCCATTCAGAATAGCTGTTTTCAGCACCTGTTTCCTCTCACCCTCACCACCCTCAATCTATTTTCCTAAGACTATATCTCTCATATCTGAGATGGCTCAGGTGCATGTCCCTAAACCACCAATCCTCTCAGACAATGCTCAAAGGAAAAACAAGTTAGGTGTTTTGTTCAATTAAAACATTCCCTGAAGGCAAACTTGTTTAGTTTCACTGACTTGTTCCTGTTTACAGCATTCTAGCATCAAGTATTCAAGGCATCATGTATTCAAAAAGGATACTATTTTCGCACTGCCAGAAGTTTAGTATCCTAAATCATTTATCTACAACAGAAACTTGGAAAATTACAATGAATCAAAAATATTCAACTTATGCCCTAGCTGGTCAGCCCAGTGGATAGAGTGTTGGTCTGCGGACAAAAGGGTTCTGGATTCGATTCCCATCAAGGGCATATACGTAGGTTGCAGGCTCCTCCACAGCCTAAGCCCTAGCCAGGCCACATGCAGGAGGCAACCAGTCGATGAGTTTCTCTCACACCAATGTTTCTCTCTGTTTTTCCATCTCTTTTCCAATCTCCATAAAAATCAATGGAAAAAATATCCTCGGGTGAGGATTAACACAGTAAATAAATAAATAAATAAATAAATAAATAGATTTAACTTATTTCTACAGCTTCAGAAAATATAAGGTACAAAAAACAGCAATCCCAACTTAGAAATTATTAGTCCCAACCCTTCATTCTATCAGTTCAAAAACTAAAATTCAGAAAGGTTAGATAGTAGATTGGTTGGAAACTGGGACTAAACTTAGTTTATCTGACTCCAAGTTTTCTATTGCATTACATGGGAGTGTCAGGGGAAAGCAGAAGAAAGGGAAATCTTCTAAAATGGTTAAAAAGGTAGGTTCTGGGCATCCCTTCCCCTGCTTTTTAAATTCATATTTGGCCTTTTACAATCATTTCACATCTCACACTATTTTCACTTTTCCAGCCTTTAACTACTATCTCAAAAGTTAACATTCTTACAAAGAAGGTCGAATGGGGGAAAGTCTATTTTTCATAGCTGCCAGCCGATCAGAATTGCAGCTATTAATCAATGTGGTGGCAATTTATATCCAGGTTTCTTATAAGGAACAATTTTGATTAACTTTCCTCCCACCTTGCTATAGTTCAAGAATTACTCTCCAGAGTGAAATCCCCGATGTCTAATGAGGCCTGAATTACTTTTGAATGTTTTCTTACATTTCTTACATTCATATTCTTTCCTTCCAGTATGAATTTTTAGATGCTCTACAAGGATTGAACTTCTACTAAAGGTTGCTCCACAGTAGTCACATTCGTAGGGTTTCTCTCCAGTATGAGATCGATAATGTTCATTAAGAGATGAGCTCTGACTGAAGGTTTTTCCACATTCTTTACACTTATAAGGTTTCACACCAGTATGGATTCTCTGATGACGACTAAGGAGAGAATGGGTAGGGAAGGCTTTCTCACACTCACTACATTTGTAGGGTTTTTCTCCTGAATGAAGCCGCTGATGATAAATTACAGACGTAAAATGGCTGAAAGTCATTCCACAATCATTACATAGGTATGGTTTTTCTCCAGTATGGATTCTCTGGTGTCGGGTAAGGCAAGAATTCTGTCTAAAGGCTTTTCCACATTCACTACATTTATAGGGTTTCTCTCCAGTATGAATTCTCTGATGCTTGGAAAGGGATGAGCTATGACTAAATGATTTGCCACATTCAGTACATGTATAGGGTTTTTCTCCAGTATGAATTCGCTGATGTTGAATAAGAGATGAATTGTCACTAAAGGGTCTCCCACATTCTCTACATTTATAGGGTTTTTCTCCAGTATGAATTCTCTGATGTTTAATGAGGTGGGCAGTTAAGGTGAAACCTTTCCCACAATCATCACATTTGAAGGGTTTCTCTTTACTATGAGTTCTACGACGGGGTGTGAAGGATGCACTCTTACTGAAAGCTTTTCCACAGTCACGGCACATAGAGGGTTTTCCACCAAGGTAAAGTTTCTGCTGTTTGGACAGTGTGGTACTATAGTCAAAGGATTTTCCACATCTGCTACATGTAGGGGATTTTTCTCCAGTCTCTGTTCCCTCATCTTTATTCGAGGTTGTATCCTGATATTTACTTTTCCAACATTTCTCACATATAGGGATTCTTCTTCTTTTAACAAGGGATAAACTTTGAGTAAAGTCTATCCCACAGTTACTGCACTTCTGGGGCTTAGTACCCATATAAATTTTCTTATATTTCTTACGTTTCTTATGTTCAGTAAGAGATGAAGAGGGACTTAAGACTTTCCTGCCTTCCTTACGTTTCCGTAGCTTTTCTCTAGTGTACCCTTTGCGGTTCACAACAAGGTCTGAATGAAAACTAAAGCGTTTCTTGATTTCATTATACTTCCGAGATTTCTTCCGTAAGTAGAGTCTTAGATGCTTAACTAGATTTGAAGTTTCCTTGGCCTTACTTCCAGAGGGGCCCTTTTCTGAGTCAAATTCCTCACCCTTATTGCCTCTCCCATGAGTTTTCTTTTGTGTGCCTCCTACTTGTGAACATCCCTTATTGCTACGGCCCTTCTCTAATCTGCCACGTTTGGAAGATTTTCCCATCAAGCCATAATCACCACACATTAAGTACTTATCTATTATTTTTTCTAAAGTTGATTGGTCCATAAGAACATCTTGATTTTGAACAGATTCTTCCAATTCACCTCTAGGTTCACACTCTAAAAGAAATAACACAGAATATTTCCTGTTTGCAATAAAGAAAGATGCTGTATTTGGGACTAAATTAGGGATAGGGGCAGTGATGACTATAAGGATTATGACTTGGACAATTCTCAAATACACTCTATAAAACAAGGAAGGGAAAATGATATAGAGAAAGTAGGTAAACATAGGGATTAGGACAAATATTGAGGAAGGTGGAAAGTTTATGCTTTTTAGTTAAAAATGCAAGTTTTCACCCCATTTCAAATTTTTGAAACAGGTTCAGATTTATTCTTCCTATACCCAATATTCCTTTTTCAAACAATAATATTAATGCAAAGTGTATTGAATACTTTCCAAATGCCAGGCCAAATATCAAACACTTTACTTGTATTTCACTTAATCTTCACAACTCTATGAAATAAGCCCTATCATTATCCCTGTTTTGTGAATGTGACAAGTAGGTACATAGAATGTAAGTAGCTTGCCCAAGGTCACATGTATTATAAGTTGCAGTGCCATATTTTTAACCTAGTCAAACACTAAAGCCCAGGCTTTTGATCCCTATACTGTATTGTTCCTTCTCAAATCAGTCAAATAGTACTAAGTTTATATGATAAGCAATAACATCTATGCTAGACATTCAAAGGTAGCCACAATCTGGCCCTATCAACCTTATGGATACTTTAATCAGGCATCCATTTGCTATCCCTAATTTACTATAGCATTTTCAATCCTATTCTTTAATTATTTTGAAAGAATTTTGTTGATTTTTAGAGAGAAGGAAAGAGAGAGAGAGAGAGAGAAAACATCAATGTGAGAGGGAAACAATGATTAGCTGCCTCCTGCATACTCCCTACCAGGGATGGAGCCACAACCCAGGTATGTGCCCTGACCAGGAATAGAACAGGTAACCTTTAATGCATGGGATGATGCCCAGCCAACTGAGCCACATAAGCTAGGGCTCAATTCGATTCTTTTAGTGTTAACACTTATCACTCCTTAAATGTAATCCCACATCACCTTCACTATCACAAACATATAAATTTGACAGGGCCTAGGGTTCAAGTCCCACTATCTCAACAGGGCCTTTCCTAGTACTATGCTCTTTATGCTCTTCAACAAATTTTGAATTCCTTTATTCACCACATCATCATCCTGACTCTTAATTATAAGATTACAGTGTCACTTTTATAAAATTATAAACAGAAAAGTATAAAACACAAAATTCTGCTACCCAGAAGTTAACTATTATTAATAACTGTGTATTTTCTTCTAGAAATTGCTCTATATTTTAGGATAGAAAAAAATGCATAATATATAGGCTTACTTTTCTTATTCAAAATTCTTTCCCATCTCATTGATCAGTCTTCATAAAAATAATTTTAATTAGTTACATAACAACTAATTCTATATTATTTTATTTATTTGTTAATATAACATATTAGTTTATTTATTAACCTTGGATGTTTATCAATTGATTAATATTTCCTCAAAAGAGGAGTCATAAAAATAGAATTACTGAATTAAAGGGTAGAAAAGTTATACTATCACATGAAACATGATGAGCAGAAGTATCTGAGTACTCATCTCTAGTCAAATGATCTTTTTTTAAATCTTTGTGAATATGGTTGATAATAAATAGTATTATTGCTTTAAATGTGTATTTCATTGTTGCTCAGTTGGTCGGGCATTGTACTGGTTATAGGTTTATTCCTAGTCAGGGCACATGCCCAGGTTGGTGGTTTGATCTCAGGTAGGGGGTGTGCAGAAGGCAGCCAATTGATGTTTTGCTCTCAAATTGATATTTCTCTCTATCTCTCCCTGTCTCCCTTCCTCTCTCTCCAAAAATCAATTTTTTAAAAATCTTAAAAAGAAAAATAGGGATATTTCATTCTTGACAAGTGACTTAGAGCATTATTTTCATGTCCATAGCTACTTAAATTTTAATTTTTCTCGGTTATTTTTAATTTTATCATCTATCTACTCAAATTCTTTGCCCAGGTTTCTAATAGACTCAGCGTTTCTTATTGTTTTACATGAGCTTTTAATAAATTATGGTATTGACTCTGCTTTGCCTGTCAAAAACATTTTTTTTCTTCTGTCTGCTATAAAATGACTTTTAGACAAGTTGAACAGCTAAATGATGCTACTTTTATATGAGGGAAGGACATATATTTGTACCAATATAGTTGTCTACCTGCTAGATTTTTAGAATACAAAACATTTTTAGAATCCCTTTTTGGAATTACTCTCCCAAATGCTACTTAAACATAAGGCAATCGCTGTCCTTATGGAAACAGCCAATAGTTTATCTAAAATGAATGGTTAAGAAGATGGAATAGCCAAAACCGGTTTGGCTCAGTGGATAGAGCGTCGGTCTGGGGACTGAAGGGTCTCAGGTTTGATTTTGGTCAGGGGCATGTGTCTTGGTTGCGGGCACATCTATCTACAGTGGGGGGTATGCAGGAGGCAGCTGACTGATGTTTCTCTCTCATTGATGTTTCTGGCTCTCTATCCCTCTCTCTCTTCCTCTCTGTAAAAATTCAATTTAAAAAAAAAATATATATATATGATGGAATAGTGCAAAGTGAATCATTTTTTTCCTTTAAAATAAACTAAGGTATTGATAAGTAATTCTTTTTAAAACGTAAAATGGGGTTATACTATACATGATGTCCTCTGGACAAATTCACATAGATCCTTCAAGATTCAATTCAAATGTTAATTAAGCTGTTGCTCCTATATTTTTGCACTGCTCCTTATACTTGCCATTATAGCGTAAGTCCCATTACAAAGTTTTTGTTTTGCTATCTGTATCTACGGTGTCCATAAAAATGCACTTTTCAGATCTTTCCTGTGGCACTTACCTGGCAGCTAACATCACCTGCTGTGCTCTATGAATCCACCATGGCATTCATGCCAAGGCCACTTCCTGTAGCTGGTCACAGTCGATGACAAGTATAGCTGGGATACCCAGGCCCATTTCTGTGAGACATAGGACTCTGAGAGGAGACTGTGGCTCGAGGACTCTTTGTTGGCCTCGCCAAAATTTCCTTAAACTGCATTTTAGTCTAAGACTCTTCTGACCCAGCCTTCCTTCCCTCTCCTTCACAGGTGTTATACCTACATCACGCTCTGACCTCACTCCCAGCCCCTTCCACAGCCTGCCCTGTTTTTCATTGCAATTTTTCCTAACAAGTCTCTGGCAAGGTTAATCATGTCTTGGCATCTACTTATCAGAGAACCCAAACTAAAGGTCTATTAAAATGAACATTCCAGGAAGACAACATGTATATCCCAATCATCATTCCCTTTTAATTTTAGCAAGATGGCCCACCCAACATTTCAAAAGGTCTTCCCAAATGACTTGGCAAGCAACTGTTTTAATTTCCTTGTCTATTTTTCACCAACTCACCTGGTATGGAGCCTTCTGAGACTTCTTTTTCCAGAATCCCTGGTTCAACCCATGTTAGCTGGGAAATCACATCTAATTTGGTCATTGGAAAGCCTACATATAGAGAAAAAAAAGAAAAGAAAAGAAAAATGTCTGTTTTCCATAGAACCAAGTCAATCAGCATTCACATAGAGTCTGGTTCTCCAGGGAAGAGAAGATACTGTCAAATAGAGACAGCAATACTGAAATTTGAAGAGAAAATGGGGGAGCTATGGTCTTGATGAGGGTAAAATGATGCTCAACATTTCCAATTCAATGAAGCAAAGACTTTTTTTTGGAGAAAACTGGGCAGAAAAGTACATTTTTCAGGACCCATTCTTAGGATTAATTCTATCATCCCTGCATGCCCAGCCAAAACAGTAACAATTGTCTTTCAAAAATAGTGGCCAAAGAGATACCCAGGTTAGCTGCTAGATCACAAAGAGAAGGTGTCTTTACCCAGAAATTGTAGGTGCCTACAGTTCTCCAGTAGCACTTCCTTATATATCTCCTTTTGAAAAGGTTCCAGCTTTCTCCACTCTCCTCTGGAAAAATTCACAGCTATATCCTTGAATGTCATGGATTCCTAGAACACCAAATACAGTCTTTTTTTGCATTGGATTATTCCTAAATAGATCCTAAGATTTCAGAGAATATAAACTATTAGTTTTGATAGTAGTTTCATCTCTAAGGATTCCAAAGCAAGCTATCAATATTTATCTATTTCTTTCTTATCTTTGTACACTGGCTAGAATATTCAGAAAATACTTATTAATAGCAGTAAAGTTAAAACATCCTTATCTTTTTATGGGCATTGTAAGAGCTGCTTTTGATTTTCCAGCTGGTGATATTTTTACCATGTTAGGAAAAACAGTTCTCTTTTCACCTGGCTACCTGAATCAGGAATAACTGTTACATTTAAGCAAATAATTGGTTTTGTTTTTATTAGAGTCAACCTTGTGACAAATTCTCAAGACAGGGGGAAAAAAATAGAATGTGAAGAATAACTTTGAAGAATGAGACTAGAAGACTCTCTTAATTATTCTGTCTAGCATTTTTATACCACTCAATAGGAGGTCAGTAAGTATTGACTTAAGAAAGAAAACCAGTGAAAGGAAACTTACCCTGGACTCAGTATTTGGAAGGACAGAAACCGTTTTATCTTCTTCAGGATTCTCCTCTTGGAAAATATCAGAATCTTGAGAAACTGGATCTATGAAAGGAAGAAAAAAATACAGTACAGCCTTTCAAATGAATTCCTCCGACTAGCAATTCCCATATATGTCTCTAGAGAAAAAGGTCGTAAGAAACAGAAAGTTTTCTTCTACTCTTTCAAACAGAAAGAAGAGCCATAGATACAGATTCCCATTAAAACCCAAGCTTATCCCCTTACCCTATAAAATACCCTTTCAATTCCTCAGATCACAAAAAACTGATTTGCTTGTGACTTCAAACATTTTCAGGTAAATCTGTTCTCTCCTGTGTTCTAAAGTCCCCTCTTGCTCAAAGGGAAAGAATTTATTGTTTCTTGAGCATCCTCCATGTATTATATGATACTTGCTCTATTTATTCCTCATCACACTGTAGCTAAGATGGGATCCCATTTTTATAGCAAAAAAAATAAAAATAAATTCAAGTTCTGAGAGGTCATGTAGCTTCCCCAAGATCACACAGTAAAAGGCAGAAAATTCAAACCCAACCCCACCTCCAAATTTAGTCTTATCTTAGCCTCCTCTTTAGCAATCCATTGCTGTCTTTTGGGGAGTTCCCTCTCACGTGCTAAGATCTTTCCCACTTCCTCCCTCCACCTATAAATCTCACCTTCCTTTTCTTTAAGCGTTTGGGTCAAATCCTCTATTAGGGTCACCACTTTCTCACTATCCTTAGGACGTTGTGATTTTACCCAAATCCTGATCTCCCCAGGCAAAACGGACAGGAATTGCTCAAACACCAAAAGCTCTAAAATCTGTTCTTTCGTGTGGATGTCTGGCCTCAGCCACTGAGTGCAGAGCTCCCAGAGCTGATTCAGGGCTTTTCTGGGTCCAGCCTCTTCGGAGTAACAGAACCACCGGAACCTCTGTCTGAAGGACTCTGGGTCAGTAGGGTTTCCTCCTAGGTTAGCTTCTTCCTTCCCACGTGCATCCATTCTGAGGTCCTTGTTTTGTTCATCTGAAGCCAGAGTCGGAGGCTCTGGGGAGAAGGCCGTCATCTTGTTCACGGGTGTTACGGTTCGCAGTTTGTATCACCGGCAGGAATTCAGTCCCCTTTAGACTCTAATTGAGTATCAGTACAGTCTACCAACAGGCACTGCAAATAGCAAATATCAAGGATTCAGTTTATGGTCTTGTAGGAACTGTCAAGAAATATAAGATAGGCCGGGACCGGTTTGGCTCAGTAGATAGAGCGTCGGCCTGAAGACTGAAAGGTCCCAGGTTCGATTCTGGTCAAGGGCATGTACCTTGGTTGCGGGCACATCCCCAGTAAGGGGTGTGCAGGAGGCAGCTGATCGATGATTCTCTTTCGATGTTTCTAACTCTCTAACCCTCTCTCTTCTTCTCTGTAAAATATCAATAAAAAAAAAATAAAAAAAAATAAAAAAAATATATATATAAAAGAAATATAAGATAGTAAATAAGTGAAACAAATCATTAATCATAAATATAGATATATAGATATATATAGAATATATATATATTCTCACAGGCCTAAAACAGCCTTGCCCAGCTACTATATTAAAAGCATAATTTTCTTTGTAGGTGAAAAGCCGAGGAGTTACTTAAGGGTAATTAAAGGTTCCTCCAGCCCTAACCAGTTTGGCTTAGTGGATAGAGAGTCAGCCTGTGGACTGAAGGGTCCCAGGTTCAATTCCTGTCAAGGGCATGTACCTTGGTTGCAGGCACATCAAGGGATGCGCAGGAGGCAGCTGATCGATGCTTCTCTCTCAGTGATGTTTCTAACTTTCTATCCCTCTCCCTTCCTCTCTGTAAAAAAATCAATAAAATATTTTTTTTAAAAAGGTACCCTCCAGAAAAACAGTTTCTTCAGACTCAATACTCCTCATAAGCAAAACTGATCAGAGAAGCTCAGGGCTACAGGAAGATACACAGTCACAAACCTATCCGTCGACTCCTGCCCTCTCTCGGGCAATGGCCACACATTTCCACCAGCTGCTCAACTCAGAAGCCTGATTTCATATTTGCCTATCAAATTTCTCACAAAACCAGTATCCCAATTCTGGCAGCTTTAATTCCTAAGAACCTCACTATTCTATCCTACTGAAACAGTACAGGCTTCTCCAGTCCAGTATCACACTGTAGCCTAAGGATGCCTTCTAATATGCAAAATAAGATCCCCCCACCCCCCCAAAAAAAACAAAAAACCTGTCTCCAGATAAAATAAAACGCAGAAGTCATGCATGATGATCTAGAGACCCTGTCCGGATGATCTCGCCTCTTGAGTCCTATCTGTACCTTTGATGGACACTGCAGCAATTAAAAATAAAAAAGTATCCCCCCCCCCAATCACCATCAAAAAAAGGTATCTCCCTATTCCCAGACACACAATCCCCCTTCTATCCTTGTACTTGTGCCATGTCTTCTCCTGGGAATGCTCTCTTCTTTCCCTCCCCACGCTGAGGTTTTCCATTCTTTAAAACTGGCACCTTTCAATCCTTTCATCTGTCCCCTCTGTGTGACGCTTTCTCTGAACCACAGGTGCTTTTCTGCAGAGAGCCTGTGTGACATGCCTGCTTTTCACCCTACAAAGAACTGATCGTCAGTGAGCTGGGATCGGGGTTCACTAGGGAGGCAGGCTCCCCACCCCCACAGAGCACCCACCCAGCCTGAGAGGTACTGCTGCGCACGCAGCAAGTGTCAGAACATCCTCCTCCTCCTGTAACCATGGTAACCGTAACTACCCACCTCCGGGCACACAACCCGGCCCACAGCAGGTATGACGTCACTTACTCCTCGGCCAGATAGTAGGCGCCTACCCCGAACCTGGCGCCTCGCTGGGCATCTGGGGCTCTTCGGGGTCTAAGACACTCCTCTAGGTCTGCAGGGCGCTTACAACAGAAGCACCGAGAAAATGTGACGCAGCCAGAAATAATGGGGGGGGGGGGGAGAGAGAAGAGAGAGAGGAGACAGGTGGGGATTTGCCTCCCAGGAGACCTTGGCAACGCTGGAGACATTTTGGCTGGCGCGGCTGGGGAGGAGGGATGCTACAGGTACCCAGCGGGCGGAGCCAGGGATGCTGCTGGACATCCTGCAACACAAGGGACAGCCCTCCGCCCCCCACGCGCACAGAACAAGGAATTTTCCCGATGGAAATGCCACAGTACCTACGTTGCTAGACCCCCGGGAGCAGGGAGGGGATGGGGGGAAGCTCGGTCATCCAGGGGAGTGCCCACCTCCCACCGGAGCTGCGGGACTTGGAGGGAGCGCATAGCCAGGTCATCGGTCGGCTGCCCTCGGCCCCCGCCCCTGCCCAAGTGCATCCCCGGAGCCGGCGACCTGAGGGGGGCCCCCGAAGGAGGGGCCCTGGGCAAGCACTACCTGCATCAGGACCAGCAGCCAGGACCAGCGCTACCGCGATGAGCTTCTAGAAGCTGGACCGGCAGTGGCTGCGCGCGCAAGCCGGCGGGGACCCTCTGCGCCTGCGCACGGGCGCAGAACTACGATTCCCGGGGTGCGCTCCTCCCGCCTCGCCCAGGTCCTGTGCTTTCCATAGGCTCCCACCCCGCCTGTTGCGCAGGATCATTGGGAAGCGGCTGGTGGGCTCGGCCACAGAATTATTGCTGCGCCAGAGGCCTGAAGGCCTAGAACATTCTGAGGTTTCCAGATCTATGATGTTCTATCTCCTTGGCAACCTCAAACCCTCCCGCCCTCCTCCCCTCCCTATCCATCCCCAACCGAGGCTGGAAAAACCCACCGCTGGAGCGTGTTAGGGATGCATTCAAGGCAAGCCATGATTCATGCTGCAGCTTGAATTAAACATCAGTTTTATGACTTGCAACCTGCCACCGTGGTCCAAAACACCATCATGCTTTGCCTGAATTATTGCAATAGCTTCTTGATTTCACAACACAGCCAAAGAGATGCTAAAATCAACAACAACAACAACAACAACAACAAAAAACACAACAACACACACACACACACACGTAACACAGAGTATGCCCCTCCTCTGTCTGAAACCCTGCAAAGGCTTCCCATTTCACTCAGAGTAAAAAACCATATTTTGTCAGAGGCCCATGAAGCCCGTGGAATCCGGCCCCCCATGACTTCCCTGACATTTCCCCCCACTTCCCTGCTCCAGCCACAATAGCCTCCTCACTCTGCTATCCCTTCTACCTGCCTGGCACTCCTGGCTGACATGTTTCATGCTGCCCACCCTCCATTTCTTCTCAGGGACGCCCTCTCACCACTACCCTTATATTGGAACCCCACTCTTTCCCACTCCTGCTTCCCCTCCTAAATCATACAATTGTCTTGTTTATAACTCATTATCTGTCTTCCTCACTAGAATATCAGCTCCACAAGATTAGGATTTTTATCTGGTTTGTTCCATGGCAGTACAATCCTCCAAGTCCTAGAACAGGGCCTGACACATAGTAGGTGCCGAATAAATATCTGGTGACTTTCTGGGCACTTGTATGAATTAGTAAGGGCACAGCACAAAGGGCTGAGGAACTCTAGAGGATTATTTGGAGCGTCCTAAATAATGAGGGGAAAAAGATTCAAGGAGCAGGATGGGGCAGACCACGCTCAACTAAATGAAGCTGCTGGGTTTGACTCAAAGGCTGCTGCAGTCAAGAAGCAGCTACAGCCAGGACCAGTTTGGCTCTGTGGATGGAGCATCAGCCTATGGACTCAAGGGTCCCGGGTTCGATTCCAGTCAAGGTCATGTACCTTGGTTGTGGACACATCCCCAGTGGGGAGTGTGCAGGAGGCAGCTGGTCTATGTTTCTCTCTCATCAATGTTTCTGACTCTCTATCTCTCTCCCTTCCTCTCTGTAAAAAATCAATAAAATATATTTTAAAAGAAGAAGAAGAAGAAGCAGCAGCAACAGCAGCTACACCAGTTCTAGGTCCGAATGCATATTCTTCTCCACCTACCTCTGCTTGGGTGGCTGAAAATGGAGAGATATCAACGAGTAGCTGAGGAAAGTAGAGGAACATGAAATGAAAGTGGCTCATTCGTTTAACGGGGCAGGACAGAGAAACATCAATGGTTCTCGAACTTTGGTGTACCTTACAATTACAGGGCATTCTTCATTTGAATACAAATTTTGAGACTCTCCCCCATACAACCTGTTGCAGGTGATCCTTGACTACCTTTGAGACACACTGCATGAGTTGAAATCTTCTGCAATTAAATGACGTGCTACATATGAATACATTCCCAGGAAAGAATGAACCCTTCTTGGTGGCCAAACTGTACATTTTTATTCAAAGCAATCATCTTGGTAAAGAGTGGTGGATTGTGCATCCGGAAAGAAAGAGCAGACGACAAATTAATAAGCTGGTGGGATCTCTAACCAGGATAAATAGACGTAGGAATACTGAAAGCAAATAAATAGGCTTCTTGCTTGCTTGTTTGTTTGTTTCTTTGTTTGTTTTTAGCTGTTCTGGCTTTCGTATGGAAGGTAGATTGGAAAGAGATAAGGCTGGAGACAAAGTTGATGCACTATGTGGCAGATTGTATTTTGTGAACATAGCTGCACCAATATATACATATTCCATCTGAGTACATGTTCTTACAATGTGATGTTAAAGTCCTTCCATTGAGAGGATTCCCCCTTGATCCTGGGCTGACCTTTGTTTAAAAAAATATAGTTCATTGATTTTTTACAGGAAGGAAGGGAGAGGGATAGAGAGTTAGAAACATCAATGAGAGAGAAACATCGATTAGCTGCCTCCTGCACACCCCCTACTGGGGATATGCCAGCAACCAAGGTACATGCCCTCGATCGGAATTGAACCTGGGACCTTTCAGTCCACAGGCTGATGCTCTATCCACTGAGCCAAACCTGTTAGGAACAGGGCTGACCTTTGTAACTATTAATACCTGTGCTGATAGAGAGAGAGAGAGAGAGAGAGAGAGAGAGAGAGAGAGAGAGAGAGAGAGAAAAGGAGCCAATCTGGCTGGTTTTCCTGCTTTTCTTCAAGAATCAGCCACTTTAAAACAAACTGGAGAGCCGAGGTCCTG